AGTGTTAGGTATCCTACAGCTGTAAGAGACCATTATCACATTCAAACATCTGAATTCAGAGGGTTTAAATAGAGGATTTTGTGTCACCTATTGGGGACCTTTTCTGGTGTAAACACTGACCTTTTTGGGACCAGTAGTCCTCATGGCGATCGAAGACTGGTCCTAATTCTGCAAAACGTCATTTCTGAGGTCCTTATTGGGGTTAGAGGTAAGGTGTGAATTGAGCTTGAGTTACGGTGAGGGTTAGGGATGAATTGTTATGGTTAAGTTGTCTACAATGATTACATTTAATGGAATGTCCTGTGTTTGTTGTGTGAAATCCTTATTATGTGGTGGTCTAGTAGTTTCCCAATCATACCCAAGCAACAGGCTCAGTCGAGATGAGCCAGGCCTCCTCAGAATTGATCACCGGCAATTGCCACACAATGCATGTTAGTTAGATTTGTGTCCACACGTGGGCAACAATAACCTCAAAAGATCAAGGCAGTCACAGTTTTTAGAGCCAGGCGCTGCAGTTGCTCTCCACCAACTGCAAGACCCAGGGCATGACGGGAAACGCCTGGCTGACGCCTGATCAAAGAGCTGATTGGCTCTTAGTTTTGACAACGACACCATGTTGTCCTAATTTTCTGTGTGATTTTGATATTTAACTCTAGATTTTCGGCTGTTTTGTGTCTCATGTTGTGCAAAAAAGGTTTAATCCGTTTGCAAACATATCTTGTGTGGTTGATGATAATCGTGAACATGTCTGCAAATTACAGGAAGCTAATTTCTGTGACCTCCTGTATATTCTTTGAAGGCTGCTGGAAACTGTTGACTATAGCTTTTTGTCACCGCCTCCTGCTGCAGCCGCCGGATCTCATCCACTTTCCAAGTGAGGCGCAGTTCATCTCAAATGAGCAAATTGTCTCTGGTTGATTAAACCTCTAGTCTGGGTGAAGTTGAGTGGAGATACCCAGGGAGTTACAGGTCACCAGACTCTAATGAGAGTGTGAGCTGAGAGTGAGGGAGATGTCAATCAAACATGGTTTGTACACGCCTACACAGTCTTGAGAAGAGGCCTTATCAAGCAACGCAAATGAAAACACCTGTGTGGGTGAACTATGGGTGTTTGAAGGCTTTAAAGGACCAGCGTGGGGGATTTAGTGACATCTAGTGGGGCAGTTGCATATTACAATGCCTCACCCTCCTCTTTCAAGCGTGTAGGAGAAACTACGGCAAATGCCAAACGTGCACACACTGGACCTTTAATGGTATCCAGAAAGATCAAAGGACATGCTATTTGGACTGTCAGTCTGTCTGACTTTGAGTTTAGTGACCTTTTTCACTAATTCACAAACGTGTTACTGTTGCTGTCGTTGTCCAGAATGGATGAGGAATGAGTGGAAAACATCTCTGTTAATTAGATTTTAACATCTCAGCTTAGTCCTCAGGACTCTAAACTAATATTTTTATCAGGAACTCAGTAAGACCTGAGATTAAATATTAAGAAATATCTGGCAGGTAAGCCTGATATTTGATGGCATTAAATGAATGATGAACTCTAAATCCTGACTGAAAATCCCTATTGTTATGTAGAAAGTCACACAACTCTAGTAAGGGGAGGTTAGAAATCGGTCTATAGTTGGCTAAAACCCCTTTAACACCAACTTTAAAAATAAATTTCTCTAACAACAAACACTTCAACTGCTCTTAACACCAACCACTTTATCCACTGTATCAAAAATTAAACCACTCTGTTCAAACAAATAAATGTTTTTCCTTTTTGACGCTTCTATATATTTCACCAACAGCAGTTTTTTGATGGAAGGACATTGGCCTCTCCTGCAGTAATAATCCATTAAGGTCTAAAATGTTGGAGTACTTCTTCCACACACTAGATAGTACAAACATGCAGCTTACAAACCTCTACATAAGAGAACCACACAGGTCAGACCTCCACTGCCACCTACTGGTTCAGCTAGAACAAGCAGTTACATTTCACAGCAGGTGTTTCACCTACATACTCTACCTTTTTCAAATACAAAACACCTCCTGTGACATCTTGTTTTACTGTTTTACTGCTGTCTATGGACTGAAACTGTGATTATGTGGTATGAAAGGTAATTTATACACTTGTAATGGTTGTACTGATTACACTAGAATGAGTAAATGATAAGTATAATGGTAATGTAGAGACGAGGCAGCAGAGGTAACTGCAGGAAAGTATCCAGTTGATATCCAGCTGAGGCTCTCATTCAAAGTGAGCAAGTCACAGTTCTGCATGTTTATCATAAACACTGTCACCAAGCTAATCCATCAAACCTGCGTGCTCAGAGTTACAGTGCAGCCTCTGGGCGCAGCATCCCATCATGCTGCCTGCTGATACTGAGTCTGAACTTTGGCACTATTCTCTATTCAAACCCTTTATCATAATGAACAATGAGAAAAAGGAGAGACAGCTCCCCAGGAAACCTTTTACAAGTTACCTCATTGAGGATCTCTGAGCTGTTCAGCTATGATTATTATTATTATTATTATTATGATTTCTTTCTTCCATCATCCACATACAACCATAAAAGACCATAACATGAATCTCTGCACCATATCAATGTCCCATCTTGCACTGATGCCCAATCCTCTGTTTAATAAAGCTTGTGTCACTGTTTATATTTAATCACCTGTTGTGTTTTGTCTTGCTTCAGCACTTCCCTCATAGTGCACACACAGCAGTTGAACCGCAGCAAACAAAACACTATCATCAGGTACATCCTGAATATTCATTAGAAAGATATTAAGTCAATTTACACTGAAACAAGTAAATTCAGCTTTTATTGTGCAGTAGTTTTGCTTTAGGTGAAAGTACATTATGAGCGTACATTTTCATTACCTGGACATTAGGAGAGTTTTCTCCCATTAAAAAGCTGCTGGAACTCTTTTCAACCACCCGAGGGAATACTCAGATGAAAAAGTAACTCTTATTCTCTTGGATCGCAAAGCTCTTAGAAATCCGTTTTTAGCTCATCTATGCTGGCTCAGAGAACACTCTGCTGGTTGCTTTGTCTTCTTATAACCCCCCGCCTCACTATCATATCATTGATTTTTCCTCTATTTGCACATTGCACACTGAAATCATCCACGCAGATAATCTGCCATTTTGCAAGGGAGAAAGAACAAAGGAGAATTTTGGAGCTCTATGCAAATATAAATCCATTAAATCGAACCATCAGAGGACACTGGTTGGAATTAATAATCATGTCTCATAGCTCAATTATTTATGACTGATTAGCGCTGATTTCGGCTCTCCCAATTCATTGTAGTCTGTGGACTTCCATTCTTTGGGGTATTGTAAAGGTGTGTTAGGTGGTCTTCTAGCGCCACTTGGTGATTCATTTCTGCAGACACAACATTCAGTAGGAACGCTCGTAATGTACATTGGATGGGTCAAATGCGGGTCACAAGTTTCATTTCATGTATGTAAAATGCTGTAAATGCAGTATAGACTGTGAAAATGACAATAAAAAGACTTTATCTACCGTATCTTAAAAAAAGACACACAAGCACATTCAATTGAAACAATCGCACACCTGAACAACAAGCCAGCCTTTTCAGTCAAATCTGATCTTCATATGCAAACTGAAAGTCAGTTGTTACTCTCTTCAGGTCTCTGAATGTCATGAGATTTTTTGTTCAGATCTGTATTAGTAGAGTATTTCATATTTAGGAATTGCAAGAACTTGATCTTAGCTCTGTAAGAATGTACTGTTCAAGCAGCAACAACTCTTTTATTTCTTATTCCTCCAGGAGTTTAACAGGTCAGCCCCTGCGACCTGATGTTTTTGCTTTCATGTCTCAGTAAATATCTTTAGGAACGTCAACTGTCAATCTCAAATGTGACTGAGGTCTGCAGTGTCCTTATGGCCTAGATGTTGTTGCATGTCATCCCCCCTCAATTCTGCTCAGCTCTCTAATAAAGGCAAACAAAAAAGTAAGTAAGTAACTCAAAGTCATTTTTCTAGTGTACTGTTCCAATCAAGTTTTGTCTCGCCATAACCTTTCAGAAATATGTAACACATACATGAGGACATTGTCAGTTGTTTTCATTTGTACAAAGAAACTATCCTGAGCCTGGCTGATGAGTTAAGAGAAGTACTGAGATCTGCCTCAGTAATAAACCACAGCAGCTCATCTCTGCTACACATCTGCAGACTGTACGCACTGGAAGGTTTTTTTGTATTATTATTGGGAAAGATCAGCAAACGTTTTCTGCAGGAGTGAATGAAGCTGAGTGGTTTGACCTAGACCTAGACTCATTCAGAGGTTTGATGTGAGGCATAATGAACGCCTGCGTTCTGATTTATTGCTCAGATCAGATTTTTTTCTTTTGCTGTTGACATTATTTTTTAAATGTCGCCTGTATACAATTCCAGCATGAAAAGGTTGCGGTCCTGAAGTGACCCGCATGACGAATATCAATCTAGATTGATGTAAAGGCAAATGAATTCACATTGCTAAAAAATCTGACTTGTATTTTGTATAGAAAAGATCAGATTGCTTTTGATTTGTGCTGTTTTTGCCGGCAGTGTGAACATCGCCAAAGTCAATCTTTGTGAAATGGACCCCAGGTCAGATACACATTCATTTATATTTACTTTATAGTATATATTGACCTAATATTGTCTTTCTGTGTCTCCATGTGTAATTATGCTATTGCTACCTCTGTCTTCTCTCCATGTACAACACCTCTTGCACGTCTGTCTGTCCGTTCTGGAGCCAGCTGGTCTCCCTCTTTCTTACCTTTTTCCTGTTGAATGGTTGTTTTTGTGTCTCTATCTGAATCAACAGTCTACGGAAAGACAGTGATGAGGAAAATTTGCGATTTGTGGATAAAATTTACTTGACAGGCATTACAGGTCTGATTAATGGTCGAACATTTAACTCAAACAAAAAGGCTTTTTCTTCTTTTAATCCCAGTAGCCTGATAAGTAGGAAGCTGAGAAGTAAATCAAGTAAGTCAGAAATGCTGTCTTATATTTTATTGTGATGGGGAGTCATAAAAATGGAGCAAAACTAAAATAAAAACAATACAAAAAGACAGTGGATTTACAAAGGGTGAGGACAGAACGTACGCTATGCAGCCTTTCGACAGTACAATGGAACAAGTTGGCACAGAACAGAAAACAGGGTGGCGGAACGATCTAAATTTGGCTTCGAAATAAAAAGGGAGGAGTAACGGCTTCATAACAAGATCCTTCATTAAAACGGTGACGACTCATGCTTTTAAAATCACAGAGTTTTAGAATTCAGTAGCTTCATAACGACGCAAAGAGCGGATGCACATGTAACAGTTTCTATTTCTCACTTCATTCCTGTCTTTTTTTTCTTCTTTTTTAGCTTAAAACAGAAGTCATGTTTACAGAATACATGTTTTATCTTTTTATGTTTTTTTTTTTTTTTTTGTTAAAACAAACTTCAGCTCCCAGAACCACATTTTGGGGTTTTTTTTGTTTGTCTTGAGATTATTTTTCATACTAAAATATATTATTGTATCAATTCAAACTACAGTAATGTACACTACAATGTGTAATAAATAACCATAAAAGAAAATATAAAAATAAGACACATAAATATAAAAAAGTCTTCTAAAAACTAAACAGGTACATTTTTTTTTAATCTGTGAAAAGGGTTCTAATACTGCCATTGTTGAAAAAACATACAGAAGACACATTAAAACAAAAAAACAAATTAAAACAGACTAATACTATAAACACTGTTCGGTAAAACCAACTGAAAACACTTCAACAGAGACCACATTCACTAACGTTTGTTACCTGAAGTGCGGGACAGCTTGCCACAATTTTCTTTTTCTTTACTATCTGAAAACAAGTGCACAAATCTGAATACATCTATAATTTCACTGTAAGTCAGTCTGTTTCCATTTTATTGGAAGATGATCTTGGTTTTGTATACTTTTGATTTCTTCCTGAGCCAACCTGGTGGCAGAGTGTCAAGTTGGAGTTTAGAACATTTCAATCTTCCTCAACAGAACATTTTCTGTTTTTTAAGCACTTCTGTAAACATCTTTAATACTTGTGACTTGTGCCACGAACATATTAACTTCACTATACTTCAAACATCAGCAGGGAAACTGATTATCTCAAGTTTACAAGGCATTTTATATCCACAGGTAAGCTCGGTCTGGACTGTATTTCTCAATGGTTTTCAACACAATTCCCACATTTCTCAGCTACTGGAGATGGAATACGTAGAGCTGAAGCGATTAATCGATCAGTTAGTTGATCGACAACCAACAACTGATCAAATTATGTCAGTCTGTGTTTGCAGCTATGTGATGGTTGGATCATTGTAAACTAAATATCTTTGGGTTTCAGATTGCTGTTTGGACCAAACAAGACATTTGAAGGCGCCATCTTGGGCTCTGGAGAATTAAAATGTGTCCTTTCACTACTTTATCTCATTTTATAGACAATAAACAATAAACAATCCATTGATTAATGAAAATAATCATTAGTTGAGGCCCTAATACTGTGTTTCCCAGCTTTCAGGTCTGGTTCAAATACTTTTAAAAAGGCCTCAAAAATATTCCAAATGAATTTCACAGGAAGTATTTTTTCAGTCGTTGTGACAAATTTGCTGTTCTGTGCAAGTCGACAAACATTAGTCAATATGGGTCTTGTGTAAGTAACAGAGGGACATAATAATACTGGCTACATGTGTGAAGAAGAAATGATAACACTGTTCAATGGCACTTTTAACAGCACACAGGTCTTGCATAAGGCTGGAGGCATTGGGGTGGAGCAGGAAACGTCCCCGTTCCTTCACGTACAGTATGACTTCATATATAAGCTAATAACACTGAAACACTGACCCAGAACGTAAGTCAACCAAAATAAGGAGAAGCTTGGTAAGAATGGGCGCGTGCGTTTTGGAACCACGGCTGAGCCGGGCGACGCGGAGTCTGCTTTTGAATCTGGAGACTCCGCCCGTACAGGCTGCGCCGGGTTTGCAAAACACAGGCGCCCGATGCTGGCTTTGAGGTTGTGACTCTACCTTCCCTGATAGGACAAATTTGGTTATGGCATAAAGAAGCCACGTTCTCGTCCCGGACTCCCCATCCCGCCCACAACCCTCCCCAAGAATACGTTGTTTTCCTTAAGGCTAACAGTCAAACTGAAAACAAAATGAATGCTAGCTAGCAAAGACTAACACTAACACGAACAACATATCGCTAGCTAGTGTACGTATATAACACTGAAGGGCATACAATGCATGAGGCATGTATCCATAGGTAAACCAGGAATACTGTAGTGCAGAGGTTTTTGTTCGTAGAACTCAATAAAATACTGATTTAGGAAACTTCATTGGCAATAAAAAGGTATAGAAATCTTTCTCATCTTTACAGGTTAAAATGTTTTCAAACAAGAACAAGATTAGTAACACTGACCAAATGAACAAACAATAAAACAACCTGGGATGTCTCAGTAACAAGTCTAACAAGTTGATGGGTGAGTTCTGCTTTAAAATCTGTACTTCTATAAACAATTTTTAACACTGATATTTCATTTCCACGAGAAAAAAGTCACTGTTTCGTTTTTGTTTTCTTCTTTTTTCAAGTTCAGGCACACCTGGGTTTTTGTACACAGTAGTGGACCGTTAAGATCAGGCAACCGCCGTGACTTTCATGACTCCTCTGCGGTTTTGTCTTAATTTGACTTTAATGACCGACACACTGGAACTGTCCTGGAGAGATTCTCCTTCCTTCATTCGGCGTCTGTCGCCTCTTCCTCGGTGGGTTCGACGCTGTCTGACCCCTCCCTGATGCTTTTGTCCGTATCTGCTTCACAGTCTGCCATTTCCTCCGTATCCGCACTTGCCGCTTCCTCCTTTTCCTCGGTTGTTTCCTCCATCTCTTCGTCCTCCATGTGATCGTCCCCCAGCTCGATCTCCACCACATCGCAGACAACCTCCTCGTCCTCCTTCTCTCTTTCCGCCGCTTCCTCTCTTGCCGTCTCTTCCTCCGCCATCTCTTCTCCCTCCTCGTCCTCGTCGTCGAAGTTACCCTCGTAGATCTCGCACTCGCCGTCGTCCACCTGCACGACCCGGATGTCGTCCATACACATGGCCTCGTCGTCCTCGTCCTCCTCTTCCTCGCTCTCCCTCTCGTCTGAGTCCAGTTGGGAGGGCGGGGTCGTGGTCCGACTGTCCGACTGCGGTCCGGTGCCGGGGCTGCCGAGCTCCGACTGAGCCCTGCGTGGCCCTGAAGCGGCGCCGGAGTTTGGCCCGTCCTTCTTGCAATAGGAGTAGCGGTGGTTCATGTGTTGGGAGTAGGAGCCGGAGTGAGAGAAACGCTTCCCGCACTTATCACACTGGTAGGGTTTCTCACCGGAGTGCAGCCTCGAGTGTTCAATCAGGTGGTGTTTGTGTTTGAAGGCCTTCTTGCAGATGTTGCACTCATGGGGCCGTTTTCCTGCAGACGACAGAACAAAGAGTCAGACCGGGACTCAAACTGCCTCCCTGAGCACAGACAGTAGTAGTAGTAGTGAAAGTAAACTGATAACTGTAGTGGAGGAAAGATAGTTCAAGTACTGGTACTTCACTTGAATGCTTTAAAGTGTTCATTAAATGTCTTATAGTGAATTATGGCGTATTGTCTTTAAGGCAGTGGTCCCCTATATAGGGGTCCCTGGTGGGTGGTGAAGTGGTGATTAACATGATAGGACAACAGAAATACTGTCTTCTAGTCTTTTTCTTTTTCCTGCACATTTTGACATTTTTAGAGCTGAAACAATTGGTTTTGTTTAATTGACAGAAAGATAACTGGAAACTATTTTGATAATTAATGAACTGTTAAAGCACTGCCCAGTTCCTGCTTCTAAAGTGTAATTTGGATTTGGTGCTTTTCTTATTCACTGTGACAATAATTTGAAATCTTTTGATCTTTTGAAACAATTTGATATCATCATCTTTGGCTTTTGGAAATTGTGATGAACTGTTTCACCATTTTCTGACATTCTGAAGGCCAACAGATTGATCATGAAAACAATAGTTAGGTTCAGCATTTTATCTCTTTGGGCCTCTTAAAAGTATATATATATTTTTAAATCACTCTTTGCTGTAACTAGACATATCCAACAGGGCACAAGGGATCAAACGTTTTTAAGGGTTCATAAGGGTAATATGAAATTATGCTGGTGACTCCCTTAACTGTCCTTCCCCTTCACTCGGTTACAAAAGGCATGCAAACTCACTCAGAGTAGAGGTTTTAGAGGCTTTAAACCCCACAGATATAGTGGTGGTAACTGTTGAATGGAACATACATTGCAGTTAGAGGATTATAATTAATAGTTGTCTAAATGCCCTTAAGGATTCTCAATAAACAAAAGTGACGTATTATGTATGCAAGTCAGTGAATCTGTGTCTATGGTTTGTGTTAATGTGGATGATCTCATGGCTGAGCCATCACACACCTGTGCACAGTAGTGCAGTGAACAGCTAACTGCTAACAGATTTCAATAAAATCACATTCCAAACTTATACTAGTTAGTGCTTCGGGGAAAATATTCAGTTAATTCACCTCAGGAGTCTCGTCTCGATAAATACTGATGTCAACTCTTTCAGAGCTGGTACATTTACAGGCCAGCTGTCCCATAAAAGTTTCATTCACACTAAGAATAACACATTTAATGAGACATGATGTCACATTGAAAACCAGAACTACCTCTGGACAGCGGAAAACAGAAACCCTGCTCAACAAAATAACCTTATTCACATTATCCTTAAAACAGTGCTTGACTAAGTTTAGCCGGTGCAATGAAACAAACAAATGAGTGCATTAGGGTTAATTCAGCGCACCTGTGTGTTCATATTTGTGCCTGAGCAAGGAGCTGCCCTTCTGGAAGACTTTGGAGCAAAGATCACACGGGTAGACGCCATTTTCCAGCCGTCGCTTCTTCGGATCCGAATCATTCTGCTCCTCCACCGTGGAAACACCGTCAGAGCTGGTGTCCAGCCTCTTCTCCTGCTGTAAATGGAAGAAAATGGATCATTATGGGCAAATTATTTAATCCCTTGTGGTCAGGTAGAGGCAATTGAGGTTAGTTGCAACCCAAAGAAACATGGATACTATTACAGCCTGAATATGAAGTCACAGGTAGCAAATATTAGCTATTTATGGGATTTAAGGCCTGAAACATGAAAGTGGTGTGAGGGTGAATAATAATCAAACAATAACCCACTGCTTCCAGGTCACATGTATGTTTTTTGAGTAGTTTTGGATTTCTAAGAAAAGACTGGTTACCTGACAGAGTAGCTAGTAGAACACATGTAAGAGCTTGATAATAAGACATAATGTTAAACACTACCAACCTTGTGGCCGTTCAGTACAACAGTCTTTGCTCCAGTGGCGTTGCCGGTCGTAGTGGCGTAGGTGTAGGTGAGCTGGGGGATGAGGATGGTGCGCTTCGTCGTGGTGTTGATTGCGCTGAGACAGCCCACCGTGCCCTGCCCGGCGATGGCCACCAGTGTGGGCAGCTGTGTGGCAGTGACGATGTTGACAGATCTTCCGGTCTGAGGCGTGGTGACGTAGATGGTTCGACCCTCCAGCTGCTCCTTCCTCAGGCAGGTCAGGTTCAGGGGCTGTTCCTGCAGCTTGGTGGGAGGTGCGGCCATTTTTGTTTCCAGTGCCGCTGCAAGATGTTTAGGAAGGGAGAGGTCAAGCGGCTCTGCCTGGGAGTCCGGGTTCTCGGGGTCCTCTGGCTCACTTTTAACGATGACGAGGTCCCCGGTGTTGAGGCTAAGTGGTGAAGAGTCTGACGGGGAAGCGCTGCCAGATTCTGATGAGGCTTTGTTGGATGTTTCTTGGGTGCTGTCTTCCTCTGCCTCTCCATTCTGATTCGAGGCATCCTCCGAGCTGGAATTTTCAGTCTTTTTGGAAACCGCTCTAGCGTTATTGCGGAATTTGCCCACATTTTTCCCAGAGTTCATCTTGGCAAACCACTTTCTGACCACGTCCACGGGAATTCTGACAGACTCTGAGATCTTTGACAGCTCCTCCTCGCTGGGGTTGGCATTGGAGGCGAAGTAGGTCTTGAGGAGTGAGAGGAGGTCGTCGACGGGCGGCTCCTCCAGCGTTACCCCTGCCTCGCTTAGCAGAGCAGCGAACGAGGGGTCCAAAGCTGCAGAGTCAACAGCCTCCCCATTGGCTGCTTTGCGGTGCTGGAGGAGGTGCAATGCCTCCAGGTTGTCGGGACAGTCATCACATAGTAAACACGTACTGCTGCTGTTGGCTTTTGGCATCTGAGCTGTCTGGGCGGCTGAAGTCTTAACAGTTTTCATTTTTGTCTGCGTGACCGCCTCCGTCTCCGTGATGGCCACTGATTCAGGCTCTGTCTTTACGATGGTGAGGTCGGCCACCTCTGGGGTTGGGGATTTATCTGTTTTGGAGGGGGTGGGAGCTGCAGCAGTGGTGACAGTGGGAAGGGGAGGAGGATTGTTTTTGGCAACGAGCGGTGCAGGCTGGGTAGTGGCAGTGGTGGCGGATGCAGGGCTGATGCTGTAGTTGATGATGATCTTCGTGGTGCCGTCGTGATCCACGAAGGCCGGCAGGCTGATGATCTGTTGCTGGGGCTGCTGGACTACAATTCCCTGCTTGCCCTGCGTCACCACCCCATTAGCTGTACCCAGCACCTGCCTGAGCACGTTTCCGTCCATCGCCACCTTGAGCACATTCTGCAAGTCATTCAGGTTGATGCTGATGGGCGACATCAGGCCAACTGTGGGTAAGACCATAGCCACACCCTGAGGCAGGGTTGCAGCTGGAACCACAGCTGGCTGAGCCGTACCTCCGTTCACCACTCCGTTGGTACTAGCTGAAGTTGCCGGTGCCGCCATCGCGGACTTGCACTCGTATTCCACAGGTTCAGATTTGATCTGGGTGACGGGGAGCTGCTCCTGGAGGGGTTTGCTTTCAGTCTTCTCTTTAAGAATCACACGGGCCGGAGCGATTACGACCGGTGTGGTCTGGGTGGTGGGCGGAGGGGATTTGATCGACGTTCGAGGGACGCCATTAGGAGGTGCTGCACCCACACACTTCTTACTGCTGATATGGGAGCTGTAGGAGCCTGAGTGGGAGAATCGCTTCTTGCAGTTTGAGCATTCGTACGGTTTCTCACCTAAGAGGGACACAGAGAGTAAATTACAGAAACTGTTAAAAAAGTAAGCTGTGTCACTTTATAAAGAGGTCAACTTTTATTTTAGTCATTTAAAAAATATATATTTTCTTGTAGGTCAATTCCTCTTTATACCAAAGTGCAAGTAAAATACCAAAAGTTATTAAATGTCTGGTCAGATTTACTCAATCTTTTCTCATCATTTTATTAAGGTATATATCTTGTGTTCAGTTTTTGTTTAAGGAATTTGGCTTGTTTGGTGAAATGAAAAAAAAGGTTTTGTAGAAAACCAGGTTTGTTCTGGTATCAAATACCAAAATTCGGGTATTGTTCTCTAATATTAAAAGACATCAAATGATCCTCTAGATGGCCGTAGCTGCCAGTTTCTGTGCAATTCAGTTGCCAGCGTGTCATTTGCCTTTCTACTGTTTGTGTGATTTTTACAGTCCATTATTTTACATGTTAAAAGCAAAAATTCACACATTTTATCTTTTGTTTTTAAGATAAACATATTTTACGTTTTGCCACACATAGTTTTTGAACTCCACAAATCCTGATCCAAAGCTAACAGAGCTGTGGTGAACTGGTACAAACACTGTGATTACAGACAATACATGTCAATAAATGAGTTTTGGAGTGTGTGTGCCAGGCTGTGGACTGACTGTGCACTGTGCGTGTGTATTTAAATGAATGACTGAGAGTGGTGGTTGCCGCGGTAACAGCTCACCGCTGTGAATGCGCAGGTGCTCCTTCAGGTGATGCTTGTACTTGAAGGCCTTTAAACATTCAGTACACTTGAACTTGCGGGTTCCCCCTGTTCCTCCCGATGCTCCTGTCGACTGGGTAACGTGACGCTGGGACATAAAATAAAATGAATTAATACATTATAAATTTAAAAATCAGATAAAAAATATAGATGATGAGGACAGTTGATGAGAAGCTGCAGTGTTAGATGTGTCCATATAATACAAATAACTGCCTTTAATGTTTCTATTGTTAATATGAGCTGTTTAGTATTCATGGGGTTGAAGTATCAAATATAACAGAGGAAAAGAATTGATCTTGGTATAAAACACAGTAAAGATTTCCATTTTCTTCCAGTTTTTCTGTTGGTCAAAGGTTTGAAAGGAACATTGATTATCCATGCAGAGGATTTGGTCGATGGCTACATTTGCAAACTGCAAAGCTGCATGTTACATTTGAATAAATAATAAATCACAGTAAATGAAAGGAGACCCAAAAGCCAATACATTCATCAGAACTTTGAAAAACAAAAACATTTGAACAAAAAAAATCCAAAATAAAACCACCAAATTTGGATTGAAGTGATTGAAGTTACTATGAATTGGCAAAAACGCAACAGGAAATGAATTGCTTAAGGATGTGAGTTCCAAAATGTGTCTAGTAAAGCTGAAACAATAGTACAAACCATGCTTGACTGTAATCTGAATTAAAATCCAATACAAAGAAACCAGCTACAATATAAAACATAAGACTTTTCCAGCTTTTAAACCAGATAATATCTTTTTAATAGAGCCACTAATTCCCTAAATCAGGTCATGGTCACTGCTTTATCACAAATTATTTGACACATCGTACAACAGTGTGAAAACTCTAGTGGCGTGCACTTTGACACAGCTGATGGCTTCAGGCTCGGAGGTTACCTGCTCCCTGGTGCCCCGGTGGTGGCTCATGTGCCTCTCCAGCTGCGAGCGGTAGGTGAAGGTGTAGCTGCAGTGCGAGCAGCTGTAGTTGTCCTCGCTGGTTTCGTGGCGATACTTGATGTGCTCCTTCAGCGAGGCGTTGCGCTTGTAGCCCCGGGAGCAGTAAGGGCACGTGTGCAACTGGGAGAAGGAATCTGGTGTGCCTGTGATGGAGACAACAGGGAGAGGTAAATGGAGGGTGATGCTTAAATTCTGCCATCCTTCATCTGACTTAAGCTGATCCGAAGTGCTCGACAGATGGTGGAATAGATTCTAAAATCCCCTCTCTCCGCATCTTTCCCGATGTCTGATTTGAGTAACTTTGCACTACGGACGATCCGACAGTCACTCCGACTTCACACCGTGATTGGCCAGCTGTGTATCCTCCAGGGAAGCCTATTCAGATCTTTGACCTGAGTTGCTTTAGTAGCTGATAACGGAGCACTTGATACTTTAGTGGAGTGTCTAGACTCCAACTCCAACTTTGAAGTTGAACGTGTAACTAAATATGTGTGAGTATATCTAAGAAGTGCATGTGTTTTCTGGTTGTAGAGCCTGACTGTCCCATGTGATGATAAGTTAAGTTAATAGTGAATGAAGAGGTTATTATTACAGCTTCATATCCCCTCTCAGTATTGGTTAAAGTTTCTCTGTATACTTCTATTAAAAGTTTATGTATACACTCATTTGTATTCAGTTCTCCAATGAACAGGAAGATTGACTTATGACTTGTACCTGAACTAATGGAAATACCCTTTTGCCTTCCAGTTATGTGCCAGTTGTATAATCACATTATAATTCTGCCTAGTGAGGCTTTAATGAGAATGTGGGCATTCAACCAACCTTTTTTAATTCCAGTTTTAAGAGCATACACTGCAGAGACACTGCGATAAGCGAGCAGCGGTGTGTTAGTGTGTAAATGTTACCGTTTTCATCAGCGCCTCCTGTCTCTGCTGGACTCTGCTCATCCTCAGGGGCTTCGGGATAGATGATGGCTGTGTCTCCCTGCTGGAGAATCTCCTCCACTAGCGTATCCTTCACCACCTCCTCCTCCTCCTCCTCCTCCTCTTCCTCTTCTTCTTCTTCTTCTTCTTCTTCTGACACCCACTCCTCTTTCACTAAAAACACACACACGTACAAAGTTTAGGTGATGAAGTCTAGCCTTTTATCCTACTGATAATGTGGATAATTTGTTATTTCTTGGAGGTTAAAATCTCTACCATCAGACACAGAAATAGCCTCAATTTTAAAGAGCTGATGAGCTATTTTCACCCTCTAAAGAATCTCTGGACTCCAGTGACTCAACCAGCAGCTGCATGGGATGCTGTTTTGCAGCCTTGCCACTAGAGGGCAGCAAATGGCTTTTTAATAATTACCTGTGACGAGCATGTTCCTCTCTGAAACCCAGACAGACACCATTTATCTCAAGTTACTGCAAAGTCTGCAATTTAGATTTCTAAAATCAATGCCTGGAAGTCAGAGTCAACTCTGGCTCTCACCTACCCCACTGTTGATGTTTTGAAAGTACAGAGTTCAGTTTCATATCATCAACACTGAGCTGTGAGGAAATCAAATGAAATCAAATCAAATGTTGATTTAGGAGTTAGACACTGACAGCTAGACTTTGGCCAAACATTTAAAGGTCCAGTGTGTAACATTTAGGAGGATCTATTGGCAGAAATGAAATATAATAGTCATACGTATATTTTCATTAGGGTATAATCACTTTAAAATAAGAATAGTTGTGTTTTCGTTGCCTAAGAATGACTCGTTTTTATCTACAGAGGACCCCTTCTCTGAGGCTGCCATGTTTCTACAGTAGCCCAGAATGGATGAAGCAAACACTAGCAGTAAATAAGGCTTCCTCAATAGTTTTTCTTTTTGCAAGTTTTCTTTGGGAGATTGAGCTGTAGATGACACTAAATCCTACACACTGGTCTTTTAAAACTCTTCACACCTACAGAACGGACACAACCCATCTTAAAGGGCACAAATAGTCACTAAACCTTCCCAAATTCAAAGATGAGAAAGGTGAAAGGAACATCAACTAACACACTCCAATGATCCGTGACTTTTCTAGACCCCATTTCTGTACAATAACATCATCAGCTAACATTGTCAAAAGCACAAGAAACAATATCCCACTAAAATCACAGCTTGTTCTCTTGACCTTTTCAAGTACTTAGTGTGACAAGACGGAAATTGCTGTTCATGTAATAGGTGTACTGTGCACAAAGCCATGACCTGTGGGATGATATTTGCTAAGAAACCTCTCTTAAACAACAGTAACAGGAACCAGCACTGAGCCCTGCTGGTATTGTCATGTTTTTGTAGCATTTAAGGAATAAAACCATCCTTAATTTATAACTTGTATACAGTCACATCCAGCTTATCTGATCTGGATCATCCTGATGTTTGAGTTCACTTGGAACCGCTGGTTTTCTGTAAAAGAGACAGTATGTGTTTCCCTGTAGCAACAAATGAGCCCTACGAGGGATAATTAGATGGATGGACTTGATTCTAATGTGTCAATTCAAAGGAAAGTGACCCGGGGATGTAACATTGGTATGTGTGTGTTCTCCATCCAACACTTCCTCTCATTAAACCAAACACACACTCTGTTAAAACTAACCTCAGGTAAAAGACTCATAGACACACAGAAAGGAATGCATAAGCTCATAAGTCATAAGCTCAAAAGTGTTATGTTGCTAAATGTCTGAGCTTTTTCAACAGGAACTGTGTGCTATACGGTGTAAACAGAAAGACATAACGGCTGGAATTAGCTGTTAGTGATATTTGGATATTTATAGAGCAGAAAGGGAGGACAGGCTTTTATTACATTTAACTTCTGTACAATGTGTTCAATTGACTATATCAAGATTTACAGAGAGGTCAAGGTGGTACAGTACATTTGAATATGTCAGTTAGGGATCACAGGCCTTTATTTGAAAACATACTGTAGCTTACAGTGACAGTTTGTCATAACTAAAGACTGTGAGGCATTCCCAAGTTCATCCATCCATTAACAGGATTATAGTTTCAAAGTTAAACTGTAATCCTCATTATATATTGTACTCTGTCCGCCGTGCTCAGATTAGGGATCAGACAGACTAAAAGAACATTTTTACCTCACAAAAAATAAAACAGCATAAACATTTTGCTTGAAACATCTGGCGGGCCAAATTGAACCTTATTAGAGCCAACTCTGGCCTCTTGACGTAAAGCACTTTGTAACAGGTGCTGCATAAATAAGTTCTTCCTCTTCCTCTGACACAGAGTATCTGTAGCTCGGTGGTTTGTAGAGGATGAGCAGCTCTCTCGGTGTCTGTTGTCTTGTTTAAGAGCCGGTGTTTGCATTATATAATGGTCTTTATATCAACAGTAGTAAAGTATCCGGGGCAGAGACATTACCTCACTCCCTGTGAGTAAAAACATCGATAGGACCAAGCAGTGAGGTGAAACTGTGAGCAGCGTTGCCATGGAGATCAGGCATTTTAAATGCAGGCAGGACCGGTGCCAAAGGCTACGCCTCTTCCTGCTGAGCCTTGTCAGGGACAGGTGCAGCTGTGTGTGTGTGTGTGTGTGTCTTCATAAAGAAGAGGCGGGACCAGGCCGAGCCCTGTTAAGCCTCATTTTAAACACACAGATCTCTGCTTCCCATGACCTCATCCAAAAGCTTTCCAAATCTCTCTTCCTCCCTCAGAGACACAGTCTGCCTTTCATGCTTCGTTCTCTCTCTACTCATCCCCCTTTAGTTTATTACGTCTTCCTTTTCCTTCCCTCACCTACTTGTTCTTCTCTTCCTCCTTCCTCCCTTTCTCTTCTCTTCTCCAATCTCTCCCAGAGTACGCCCACACTAACAGTGCATCTACAGCTTCGGTGCTCCATCTGTGTCTGTACACAGGATGTGTTCAGGCAGTGTCGGGTGTACGTCACGCACGTTTTCCAAGTCCAACACACAATCGCTGTAGTTTAATGCGTAAAATGGAAAAAGATAAGACTTGGAAGTGTAAAAATAAGTTTACGTGCGTATCACGGGTGAAACACCGTTGCACACAGATGGATTGATTCAAATAGAAGCCTATCTGTTCCATCAGATATAGAGACAGGCGACTGAAAAACGCCTCCAGTGTACACACTCTGTAAGCCAGCTACATTTAGAAACAAATTATTTTCTCTCGGCTTTGGCCTCCACACTAAGCCAGCATTTTTTTTTACACCTCAAAGAAAAGTGGATGTATCAGAGGGGTTAAGAAGACGACTTCCTGTTGACTTAAACTTTGTCTGTAATCACTCCTTTTTAATGTCAATATAGCTGACATCAACATAGCTACTGTTGTCAATCTGTGTTCACTGTATGCTTAGTGATCATAAAACTGATTGATTGATGTTTCAGTGCAGAACAGAGACACTACACAGTAACCTTGCCTGTCGCCATTCTTACAAGTGTATAGGGCTGCAACTAACGATTTGGTCTATAAAATATGAAAAAACAGAGTTACATTCTCCCTAAAGCTTAAGGTGACATCTTCATATTGCTTGTTATTGCGGTTTTTGTCTTGCCAACAGCAACAAAACCCCACAGATATTCGGTTTACAATCTCATAACACAAAGAAAAGCAGCAAATCCTTACAAGCTGGAACTGGGAAATGCTTGAAAAATGACTTAAACAACACACATCCAAAATAGGCTGAGGAAGAAGAGATTTAGCTGTTTTCCTTTTGTTCTGGCATTTTATGTGGACGGAAATCTTTACAAAAACATGAAACCCGAAACACTAGAATGGATGTAAGAGGGTTTTTTTTGGAAATAAGCAGCATTTTCAAAACTATTTGGGTCTTATTTGGTAGATGCAGTCTCACTTGTTCCCTAACCTGCCCTCTTTCTCTACTGTGCACCTATTATTCTCCTCCCCTTTGCCTCCCTTCCATCACTCTTTCATCCTTTGTTCAACCTTACTATATCTCACACTCCTCACCATGCACTTCTCCCTCTTCTCTCCATTTCCTCCTGTAACTTCTACTTCCATCTGTCTCTGCACCTTTATCTTTTCATGAAATTCCCTCCCTTTCTTTGTTTCTGCCCCTCACCTCCCTCCTTTACTTGCTTGCTTCATTTCCCTCCATCACTCCCCCTTCTTACCCTCCTCCTCCCTCGCTGATACACCTCTGCATATTTTCCCACCACACTCTACAGTTACACCTAATGCCTCGCAAAAAGCCATGCAGTAATGGCGACCAGGACGCGGCAAAACACACACGTGGAATATCAGAATGTAATGAAAACAGGAAATCATCACACACACACACACACACACACACACACACACACACACACACACACACCCTCCATGTGCACAGGCACACACACCGGCAGAGTTATTCACAAGCACTCACCACACACACACACACATACACATAGCACTGCACTTGTATACCTTGCCAGAACCTGTCACTGTGAGTCCGTGGTGAATTTATAGGGCAGGATGGATTGGAGCTGCAGTGCGGCCCAGACTGCAGGGGGAGTAGCAGACACTAATCTCCCACCAGAGGACCAATTCAACACCAGCTGCCCTCCCTGCTTTCTCCTCTCGCCTCAGACGGGGAGGAAAGAAAGGAGCGAAAGTCAGACAATCCAAAAATATCACGCGAAGCCTTTGAAGGGTTCCCGACGTGGCTTCTAAAGTGCTGCAACATTTCATGACTTTTCCATGACTTGCCTCCAACACCATTGGAGCTCTTCCACACACACTAAACACGCTACTCCTTCCTGGTTTGTTAATATTTTTCTAAAGGAGTGAGCGGGCTGGTTTCTACCGCAGGTGCAGCTGAAAGACAACAGGTAATGCCATGAACGCATGACTCAAGTCAAATACACTCCTGTAACAGATACTGTTACTTATGGGAACCCTCAAAGAACTGATAAGATTACCTGAATTTCCCTGTCCAGACTACACTTTTATAAATTCAGTAGTCTTCCAGATATGCCACGGTCTGTTTGTTAGTCTATATACACGCTTATATATGTCATCATATGGCACATGTACTGTAGAATAACTTATAGGCAGTGTTAAGTATAACTGCGTTACTAACGGAGTTATTTTTTCAGTAAGGGAGT